CTGAAAAACAAACTGAGGGTTCTAGAGGGGAGGGGGTAGGGGGATGGGTTAGCCTGGTGATGGGTATTGAGGAGGGCACGTTCTGCATGGAGCACTGGGTGTTATGAACAAACAATGAATCATGGAACACTGCACCAAAAACTAATGATGTAATATATGGTGATTAACATAACAATAAAAAATTAATAAATAAAAAAAAAAGAATTATCCGCTTCAAATGTCAATAGGGCTGGGATTGAGAAAGCCTGGTTTACATTATATGACTGTATCAGTGAGCATTCTGTGCATATAATTTGCCCTCTCCCCACCTTACATTATGTTGTAAAGCTGCAGCAATTGATTTTTTGATTTTTATTATTTTTTAAAGATTTTATTTATTTATTTGACAGAGAGAGAGCGAGAGAGGGAACACAAGTAGGGGAAGTGGCAGGCAGAAGGAGAAGCAGGCTTCCCACGGAGAAGGGAGCCCCGATGCGGGACTCTATCCCAGGACCCTGGGATCATGACCCGAGCTGAAGGCAGACGCTTAACGACTGAGCCCCCCAGGCACCCCACACAGCAGCAATTTAAACCAAGACAGACAAGCAGGTGGAGAATGTAGAAGGAGCCAGGCCTCAAATCCACAAGGGTAAGCAACAGTAGCGTACCTTGCTACTGAAGGTTTGAAATGAAGGTGCCAAGTCAGTGCTAATGGCCAGCTAATTATTCTAATACCTTGTGATTAAGTATGAAGTGCTATAGAACTTTTGTTAAATGAGGTACACCTCCACTGCCGTCCGGTGGTAAAGCGATGGAGAAAGTGGTGAAGTTACATAAATTAGGCTTTGAATTAGGCTTGCAATTATGTTTCTTGTTCTAATCCACTGACTCCTTGGAAAGCATGCACAGCAAAGCCTTGAATTTGTAATTTTTTTGGTAGCGCTTTTGTAGAACTACAAAACTTCTTTTGTAGAACTCAAGTTTGTAGAAAAAAATTCGTAGAAAGCGGGAAATGCAGTGTTTGTTGTTGCTTCCTGATTCTCTGGAGAGAAGGAAAATGCATGTGATAAGAGAGAATAAAAGAGAGTGGAAGACAAGTAGAGGGAAGGGAATAGATTTTATTACTCAAAATTAAAAAATATTAAAGTCATCCTAAAAAAATTATTTCACTTCTCCTTATGTGCACTTAATAGCTCATTGTAGTCTCAATGACAATATATTAAGATTTTTTGGAGGAATGGAAGGAGTGAAGGGAGCTACCTCTGAAGTTCCTGTTAATTTGTGTATTTTGTTAAAAACTGAATATGAAACATTTTTGATAAACAGGAAATTATAGAAAATAGTAAAATAGACACAAATACATCCACTGCTGAGATTGAAAACTTCTTCATATTTTGCCAGATTTACTTCAGATCTCTCCCTTTTAATCAATAAAACATTACAGATACTTTAGCTATAAAGTTGCAGCTTTGATTCCTTGCCGCTTCTTCCTTTACTCTCTGAAAGTAGGTGAAGTTTTGGGGTATATTTTCCTCGATTTTTTTAAGATTTTATTTATTTATTTGTCTGAGAGAGAGAAAGAGAGCACAAGCAGGGGGAGCAGGAGAGGGAGAAGCAGGCTTCCCACTGAGCAGGGAGCCCCGTACAGGGCTCCATCCCAGGACCCTGGGATCACGACCTGAGCCGAAGGCAGATGCTTAACTGACTGAGCCACCCAAGCGTCCCTCTCTTGTGTTTTTACACACACACTATATATACCCATATATAGTGCCAATTGATTTTTCTCTTTATTCTTGAGATATATCCACACGTAGACCTAGTTATCCATTTTAAATGCAATATAGGATTGCATTTAAATCCTATATTTTAAATCTTATATGGTAGAAGATTGATATATATTACCATATAAGAAACCTCTGTGTGTTTTATTCTTTCTGTGACTGCAGGCTGGTGAAAGAGTTTACTCTTTTTTGCTATTATGAAGTGTTCAAGGAGTATCTTTGTATGGGTATCTTTGGGCGACCCCAGGGAGACATGTAGCCACAGAAGAGCTGGGCCACAGGTGCACGTACCTTCCCCTCTCGCAGGTCCTAAACTTGGTGACATGAGACTGTGTAATATTTGCCAATCTCAAAAGGGTGAGATGGTATCTTATAAAACTGTCATTACAAAAAATAGATTGGGAATGATCCATCCCTTCCCTCAACTTTTCACACCTTTCTCTCTTATATAGTCATTAAGAGTGAACCTCACAAAAATTGCATTTGTAATTGTCTGGATGTTGAAACTGAACAGAAACGATAAAGAAAGGAAACATATTTTTGGATTCCAAGCTTCTCCAAGCCTGCCTTTTGTCTCATTAAATTTTGTCCTAGCCCTGTGCACTGAGCCTGGCATTTCCAAAACTGTTGACTCAGTGGGGTATATCATCTTCTCATGCGGGTGTCAGAATGAGAAGCAGTGCATGCTGATGTGAAGTTTAAACAATAAATAAAGAAAAATGTACTTTTAAAAATGTAAAACTTAGGCAAGAGTATTATTTTCACAGATGCATTGCAGTTGCAAGGAATTTCTTTCTTTCTTTCTTTTTTTTTTTTTAAAGATGTTATTTATTTGAGAGAGAGCACGAGCAGGCAGAGGGGCAGAGTGAGAGGGACAAACAGACTCCCCACTGCACAGAGCCCTATGCAGGACTCAATCCCAGGACCCTGAGATCATGACCTGAGCTGAAGTCAGATGCTTAACCGGCCGAGCCCCCCAGGTGCCCAAAGAATTTCTGTAAGAAAAATTTCAGAGGGATCTATGTGAAGCTTGAAAATTAATTATAATAACTTCTGTTTATTTATACTTAGTACCTTCTACATGCGAAGGACATGAGAAAGAAAAGAGCAGCCCTTCACGTCAGGTAACTAGTTTGACACTTGACAGCAAGGGCTCAATGTTTTTAAAAGCTAGCCTGACACTCACAGCTAAGCCATGTTGTTCTCTTCATGGACATAAACAATCTCTCAGAGCACCAATATCAGATAAGGTCACTCTGACTGTGTTGAAGAGACAGAACAAGGCCACTTCTAATTTTCTCTACACACAAACAACAGCAAGGTCAAGTGCAAATCACAAAATACCAGCCCCTCCTTCCTGATACTATGGATGATTGCTGCTTTGTTGTCAGTTACAACTCTAGCCTCATTCTTTACCTGACATTCTTCTAGATAAAATTTTATTAAGATACCCAGTCATTAAACTGTCCCCAACTCCTGACAGCACTGAAATCCAGAGTAGCCCTCCCCACTCAGTTTCTAAGGAGCCCTCCAAATTCCCAATCCTTTGAGTCTTTTCTAACACTTTCATGCTGAGAAACCCCACAGTTTCCCAAAGAGCCTGGTCTTCTCCCCAGTGAGTAATACGCTCCACCTGTTCAACTACAGGTCTTCCTCCTGGTGGTCTTTGGTGGGAAGGGCTTTCACAGACATTGCTAAGAACTTTACAGATGCTATCTCATTTAAGCCTGACAATACCCCTGTTTATTAGGTATTATTATTATTATTATTAATTATTATTATCCCCTTTTGCAGATGGAAAGGCAGAGAAAGGAAGTTTAACATCATCTCCAACATCTCATAGCTAGTAAATGACAGGAATAAAATTTGTACTTGGGTCTAATGGTTATTAAGACCTACTGAACTACTTCAGTTCTCTGGCCCTTAACGGCCCTAGTTCTCCTGGACTTTCTCCTGAAGATTACTTGCTCTTTAAAGATAGAGACTGGCAAAGAAAGTCTAGTACAGTATAAACAAATAAACATTAAAAAAACTCCAAAAACCCAAGAAAACAGCAACCCAATGACTGTAGCCTAAAGACATACTTGGAACCAAGGCCCCTTTTCTGAACCTCTGTGCGAATCTCCCCAGAGTTGCTAGAGTTGTTTCTTGCACCCAGATCTGTACTGCATGTTTACCAGAGTCTTGGAATTCGTCCATGTAGTCAGAAGATGGATAACTTAAGGAAATAGTTCAAAGGAAAAGATGACTTTAAGAGGGGGAAAAAGCACACTGCTGTGTGGGAAAACTGCTTTAGCCTTGAGGCTTGACCTTGGGTTTACACAAGGAACTCTTGCACAGTTTCAGCTCAAGGCCCTTCATTGGAAGCTCTTGAAGTTTTTTCACCTTTTGGTCTTAAGTGCTCTTGGCCTTGCGTCCCGCCCCCAATGCCCTGTGTCTAATGTCCTGCCACTCTTTCCTACCTAGTGAAAAATCCATGGACTCTTGCTTTCGCCTTTCCAGATCTGCTCCTTCAGATTTAATATCCCCCCTCTTTGTTCTCAATGAACCTTAAAAATAACGGCTATGCATTTATATTATTTTGTTATTTGTGTAAAGGTTTGTGAACCACAGACTGTGAACTCCTTAAGGACGTGGCCAAGCCCCTTCTGATTTTTGGTGTACCCCTCTGCCACCCCAGAGCGGGCTCTCAGCACTTAGGCGCTCAGCAGGCGTTCAGTATGTCCAAAAAGCATCCTTTTGGAACGTCATAGTTGCTGTTATTCTCACCTGCCTAGCACATTTTCAAGTACAGATCCTAGAACTACTCTTCCCAGTGGCCATCGCACCAGGGCCTCCGAGTGGGGCAAGACTGGGTTAGCACATGATTTCCCATTCCAGCGCTGCTCAAGTGGTGGTGCAGAGGGTCTCGCCTGCTGGCAGGAACCGGTTCTCCAAATTCCAAATAAACCCGCACAAGTGACTTCTAGTAGGTTCTCACGCTTTTCCGATCTGATCCCACCAGTGCCCTGAAGGTGAGCGGCCGGGACCGCCAGAAGGGTTGAATGGCGAAATGGACGGGCCGCAGAGCCAATCATGTTTCGATCTGCCCGGAAAAGGCGGGTCCCGGGAGTGTCATTGACAAAGCCGCGCGGGATTGGCGGGTCCGGAGCGGTCCGCAGTGGCGGGAGTTTTCGGATGTGTTGGCTGTGACCCTGGCAGCAGCGGTTGGGCTGAGTTGGGCCGGCGGGGCGGGCGGCGGAACCAGGAAGGCCAGTCCGCCACGGATTTCCGAACTCGCGTCTTGTGGCTCGTATTGCGGCCGCCTTCTTTCCGTCCCCCAGAGCTGCGGGGAAAGATGGATCGGCACCGGCCGCGGCTGCACCACCCGAAGCAGGGCTCCGCTGCCGGGGCCCCCTACCCCGCCTCCGCCTCGCTTCGCAGCTGCGGGGAAAGCAAGATGCTGCGCAGGAAGGGCCCCCAGCACCCTCCGCCCAGCGCCGCGGAGGAGCCTGGAGAGAAACGCCCCAAGTTCGTAAGTTTCTCCTGGAGCTGTGGTGGGCGGCTCCTGCCTTGCGGAAGGGTTGCGGCTCAGGTCCCGGGATCCTTCAATTTCATTAAACTTTGGCTTGGCTGACAGCCACCGGTGGATCCAAGGGGTCTGGGTGAGGATGGGTTGGGGGGGGCTGTAAATTTTGTTCTAGGTTTCTAGGGCTGCCAGTCTTCTAATAGACGACGACAGGGCCCAATTCTGTTTGGATCCTCGGACAAACAAACTGATCACTGTGTTGCCCCACATTTGTTCTGGCTGACATGAAAAGCGGTTCAAATGTGTCTGTATTGACGTCACCTAGGTGCACATTGCATTTTTTAAGTCGAACTTCTCCCCACCCTTCTAGCGTCTTAAGGGTATGAGACATGGCAAAGTGAACTTATAGGTGATAAGATTTCTTTTTCTGCTTAGTATTTTAAGCCACGAAGAACTTTTTAAGGTAGATGTAATTTTCCAAGTAGAAACAACTCGTTTTAAAATTTGGCGGGCTATGTAGTCACTGCTAAGGAATGTTTTGCTTAGATTGGAAAGAAGTCTAAGTATTTGAAACTCGCTATTCTGGTTGCTTCTCTTATTCACTTTGGCACCCAAGGGAGATGTCATGATCAGCGGCTTGTGAATCTTTTTGTTGGTGTCAACTGGTGAAAGAATGCCTATTGATGTAATGCAATGTTGATTGTTTTACATATGTGTGTGTTAACAAATTACTGAAGGTTGATAGCTCTCGGTGAATCTAACAATTGAAAATTTCATATTGGATCCGTCCATTTTATTTAGGAGTAAGGAAAACTTTTTAAGTTATAGGTAAAATTATACAGTACTGCATGTGCCTTCTGTGAACAAATAAACACTCATTAGGAATTTAAGTTACGATACACATATTAAGGGAATAGAGATTTGTAGAGGAGGAGTGAGTTGCTAAGTATAACAGTTAAAAATGGTGGTTGAATAAAACTGGGAGCAGAGCTATGATATGTATCAGAATACTGAAAATGAGGGACAATATGGATAATTTTGCTAAATTAAGTATCAAGATGGCCATAGGCCAGGTGAAGTTTTGCAGGAGGAGATCAACTATGTTGTTATTGTTATTTTAACAGAGCTGAGGAATAAATAGGATTGAGTTAAACTGGCAATGCAGAATTCTAGCCAAGGAAAAGAATCCCGAGGCAATGACTTTTCTTTTAGAGTCTACTCTCTCTTAGTAATGTTATTCCATTTTGTTTCTCACTCCTATGCTCCAGAATGCATGGGATGTGATTTCTGTGACTTCCAGCAAAGAGGTCATGAAAACAGAACCTAAGCTAGTATTTAGGTTTAGTTTCGTTGAAGGATGTATCAGGTGATTTGGATTCTAGTCAGTTTTTCATTTCTTAAGTACGTTAAAAGGGTTATTGTAAAGATGAAATGACCTCTAAAAGCAATACTGTGAAGCTTTAAAGTTATAAACATATCTAAAACAGTGTTTGCTTTTATTTTTTATTTATTTTAAGATTTATTTACTTATTTGAGAGCTTGCGTGTGGGTGGGGACAGGCCGACTGAGAGGGAGAGGGTCCCAACCAGACTCTGTGCTGATTGCAGAGCTTGCCACGGTGCTTGATCTCACCACCCTGAAATCATGACCTGAGCAGAAGGTCCCTTAATCGACTCTGCCCCCCAGGAGCCCCCACAGTGTTTGTTTTTAGATAGGAATCTGATTTGAATCATGGCTTCATAATTAATTTAGAGGTAATTTGGACTATTGATAATCCCTGAAACTAATTTAGATTCTTGCTTACATGGTAGTTTCTTTAGCTATATTTTCCATTTCACTAATTCTCTTATCAGCGATTTTAATCTGCTATTTAACTTGTTTGGAATATTTAAGTTTAGCAATTACAGTTGACTCTTGAACAACATGGGTTTGAACTGCGCAGGTCTGCTTACGCATGGATTTCTTACAGTACAGTACTGTAAATTTATTTTTTCTTATGATTTTCTTAACATTTTCTTTTCTCTAGCTTTGTTATAAGAAAACAGTATATAATACATATAACATGCAAAATATATGTTAATTGGTTATGTTATCCGTAAGGCTTCCAGTCAACAGTAGGCTATTGGTAGTAAGTTTTTGGGGAGTCAAAAGTTAGACATGAATTTTGACTGCATGGGGATCAATTGGTGCCCCTAACCCTTATGTTGTTCAAGGGTCAACTGTATTTTTTATTTCTGTAGGTTCCATTTGTTTCTTCTTCAGATCTGCCTGGTCATTCCTGATAGTTCTTTGTTTCTTACTCTTTTATTTTTTTAGGCATTTCCTATGTGACTCTTTTTATGCTTTATTTGGTAGTTCTGGTGTGTGCAATTTTTGGTTGTATACATTGACTTGCACTCATGGTGGCTTACTCTCTCCTCCTGTGCTTGTAGATCTCTGTGAGCTCATTGCTTTATCTTATCTTCCAGGAGGCCTTAGTGGGGATGCTTTTTTCCGGAGTGCTTTTCTGGGAATTCCACTGATTTGGCACCACCTCTAACTGAAGTAGGACTCTTAGCGAGCCCAGGGTTCCATGCTTAGCCCTAACTCTGTCCCTGGCCTGAGGCTTGGTGTGCCGATCTTAAGGCTGCCTTCTAAGCAGCTCTTCCCAGACAGTCTAGTTCCACACTGCTCTCGGTATCACCCTAGTAACTCTTGTTTTGAGGATGGAGACTGTCCCTTCCTCATGAGATCTCAGCAATGCCTCTACACATGATTGTTCTGTAGTTGGGTTTGCTCTACTGCCAGACGTCAAGTCGGTTCTTGGCTTTCTCTTGATTTCGAATGGAGCCGTGTGAGCCTGCATCTCTTCGGGTCATCTAGTCATTAGGTCACGTACTTGCCAGGGGCAGCTGCTTTTGACTGGAACGAGTAAGGTAGGTTGGTGATGTCACAGGAATGGGGATGATTTAGGTGTTTGGTGTTTTGCACCCTCCACAAAGCTGCAAGCTGGGGTAGAACTGGGTGGGAAATTGGCCCCTTGCTCCAGTCGTAGATTAGGAAGGCACGGGCTCTGGTGCCCGCTGAAATCCTGGTTTACTTCGAGCCTTGATAAAGCAAACACATCCTTGTTTTCTACTGTATAGTCGTGAGTCTCAAGTTACTTTGGCTTGTATATAAAAGTTTGTAGTACAGAATTTCTCCCCATAGATCTGTGTAAATAGTAGAAATTAGTCTATTGTAAATGTATGCTAATTTGGCTGCACAGGAAATCACTGACTTTTGGGCTGTTTGTGGCCTAACCGACTTGACTTCAGTAGAAAATACGGTAAGCAGTGAGTATTGAGGTGCTGGGGATAGATACTGGGGGACACGATGCAACCATTGGAGGCTGGGGAGGGGGGACAACGAAGGCTTTGCGAAGGTAGAGTTCAGGAGGATCATTAAACTTTGTCCTGCCCCAGGTCACACTCTTAGTACCTGAGCCTGAGTCCGATTTCCCTTCTAGAACAAAACAAAGTTGCCCTGTTTGTCATGAAATGCCTTTTAGTGATGCTGGGCACTTCGTTCCTACCTTTTACTGCTCTTAGAAACACACAGTACAAGCAGTGGTGGCCCCCACATCCAGATTGAGAGCAGGATGTGTGGCTTCTGGGGAAGTTCCCATCTCTAGGCTGTGGGCCAGTTTTTTTGATAGGAGGCCTGTGCATTTGGTGATCCTAGTTGGCAGAGCAGCTTTTCTTTTTAATTAAGAATATCCTTTAAAACTTCTCACGGAATTTAGTGTAAATCTTGCATCTAATCTTATGGTTTCCATCGAACGGATTGTTAATTATTGTTTAATTATATCATTATCGTACCTTCAATTTTGGTTGTGATTTTTCACCCTGCCCAGTAATATCTGTGTGTCTACCATTTTGGGCATCATTAATAATACTAGTTAACCTTAATGAATGAACCAAGTTCTGTACACACATACTCTCTCTCTCTCTCTCTCTCTCCCTCTCCCTCTCCCTCCCTCTCCTTTAACCTTTACAACAACCCAAGGAGGTGTGTGGTATTATTAGTCTTGTTTGCTGGATGGGAAAAGCAAAGTGCAGAGGCTGAACTGCCTTAGTTCACACAGCTGCGTGTTGGTGAGGATGGTATTTGAACCCAGACAAGCTATTTCCCACATTTTTAGTCACTGTCCTATATTACTCTCCCATATTATTGGGAGTTTTAATCTTTACTACTTTTCTCATTCAAGGGCCATTAAAAAATACTAACACCTTTAATGAATATAGAATTAGTGATTTCCTGATCATAGGCAGCTTGTGAGGTGGGAAGAGGTATGAGGTTGGAGAATCTTGTCTGTTGTACTGGGAACTTGGGGGGAGTTGAAATCAGAGTAGGCTTGATGAGAAGATCAGTGCCTGCCCCCCCCACGTATATTTGGAGGCAGGTGTGGCAGGCGGAATAATGACACCCTCCCCTACAAAGATATTCATGTCTTAATCCCTGACACCTGTGAGTGTTACCCTCTATTGCTAAAAAGGACTTTAAGGCTTTTAAAATGGGGAGATTATCCTGTATTACCAGGCTGAGCCCTCAATGAACACTAGGTGTCCTTGTAAGAGGGAGGCTGAGGGAGATTTGACTACAGAAAAGGAGAAGGTGATGTGACTCTAAGGCAGAGATTGGTGATGTAGCCCCAAGCCAAAGAATGGTGGCAGCCATCAGAAACTGGAAGAGGGAAGGAGCTGGTCTTCTAGAGCTTCCAGAGGGAGAGTGCTACTGCTAACACCTTGATTCGAGCCCAGTGAAACTCATTTCTGACTTCAGGCCTCCAGAACTGAGAGAATACATTTTTGTTCTAAGCCATCAAGTTCGGTAATTTGTTTCAGCAGCCATAGGAAATGAACACAGCAGGTATGGTTCTGAGGGTGACCACACTGAAAGGTGTTCTTCAACAGTTTATATATGCGTGTTTTAGGAGAACCATCAGATTCATCTAAATCTCTTCCTTGTGGTATCATTTTATTTTG